CACCATTCCTGGCTCTCATATTTACCATTTTTATTGGCAGAGTGATCTTTTGTGAGCACCAGAGGTACCTTGGTTGTCTTTGGCTTGGGTGCTTAGTAAGTACTGACCTTACCACTCTTAGGTGGCTATCTTCCTTCCCCATTCCTCTGTGATTTTCCACTGTGGTCTGTCTAATAGTCCCATTCTTCTGCTTATCTCCCCTCCTAACCTGGAGATGGGAGAGGCAAACACAAATGGGGTAGGTAGGACCTTTGTGTCAGAGATGGCAGCAGCCCTGTTGATAGCGTCCTCTTTTATGATTTTTTTTTTTTTTTTTTTCCTTCTTGAGACAGGGTCTCGCTATATATGTCTGGCTGTCCTGGATCTCACTCTGTAGATCAGGCTGGCCTTGAACTCCCAGAGATTTGCCTGCCTCTGCCTCCTAAGTGCTGGGATTAAAGACCTGGGCCACCATGCCTGGCCCTCTTTTCCGACATATGTGCCCAGGTCACTCTGACTGGTGATGTGTAGCTGGGATCATTGAAATTACAACCCCATGACATAATTCTGTCCTGAGAGATAAGGGTGAAGGAGGACAAGCTGCGGGACTGGGCCTTCCCATACTAGATAAGACTCAGCCTTCTGTTTCTGTGGATCCAGAGAGAGGGACTCTAGAGGTGGGATCTGGGAGGTGGCCTGGAGCCTGGGAGGAAAGCAGAGGATTGGGCAGAAAATCATGAGGGAACTGGGGAATAGGTGGCTTGTTGTGACACCCATGGCTCTCCTGCTGGGACAGGCTGGGAAGGCAAGTTCTAAATTACTTAAAGAAATTATTATTACTATTATTTCCTGAGATAGGGATTCACTACCATTTCCTGACTGACCTGGAACTTGCTATGTAGACCAGACTGGCCTTGAACTCAGAAATCAGCCTGCCTCTGCTAGAATTAAAGGCAGGAAGCCCCATACCTGGCCCAGATGTTCCAAATTCTTAGCCAAGAGGACCTGTCATGGGCTGGAGCTCTAAAGCTTCCTGAGTCCAGCTGAAATGTCAATGTTTGAACCCCCTCTACTTTACCTCTTGGTGTCTAGGCCAGACCATCCTTAAAGTATGAAGCTGACTCTGGGATCCTTTTCCCCAGAATCCAGCCTCATGGCTGGCTTAGATGCTCTTGGTTGCTTCCTTTACTTCTCTGTCCTGGTGGCTATTTGTGGGAGTGGGAGGTGTTTTCTTGGGGAGAGCGGAGGGAAGACTCTAGGCATGGAGACCTGCCTGCGGGGGTGGGGCTTCCTGAGATGCTCACTGAGCAATTCTTTCCATTCTTGTCTGGGCATGAGTTCCTGGCAGTCAGGAGGGCCAGTTGCCTGGACCAGTCAGCTGCTCTTTTCTGTCCTTCCCTCCAATACACACCCTGTTTCTGTAACCCCAGTAGCTCAGCCTTTTCTCTACAGATTCCAGAGTCTTAACATTTCATATGGCCCAGGAGAGTCAGAGCTAGAGTCTGACCTCAGCAGGCCTGGTACAAAGTCGGTCCCCTGACACAAGGGGTTAGTGGGGAACACGCACCCAGATTCTACCTTGAAAGCCTTGACCACCAAAAATACTGCTGTGTGAGCCCAATACACGCTCCTGTGGCCACCATGAGTGAGTCAGAGAGAGGCTCTGGCACTTTCCTGAGATGGGATGGATTACCTGAGAGGTACAAGCTGAGACATGGAACTGCCAGCATGGGGCAAAGTCTGGATACTTGGATCACAAGCAGGTGTTTGCTCACAAAGAAGCTGGATGCCTCCCGAACTTAGGAGGACCGCTCACCATTCTCTGTAGCCCTGGGATGTTGTGAAGCTCTCACAGCCCCTGGCTGAGCCCAGAACCTGGTCATAGCTTCAGGCCTCATCTGTACTCTGCCTCCTCGGCTCTTTTCCATCCTTGTCCTGCCTCCTACCTATTGTTCTCCTCTAGTCCCCATGCCTCGGCCTGGCTAGAATGGCTGGCCACTTCCAGACTATTTTTACATCTGTTAGATGGGGAAATCCACTTAAGTCCTGCCAGTTTGATTCTGTATAGTCAGGCTAACAGAACAGAAAACTTCAGAGCAAAATGACATACCTAGGAATCCACATACTGGTAGATGCCAGCTCAGACCTCAGCCCTAGTGGAGGTCCTGGTGGTAGGAGCTGGGGCCTGCACAGAAGCCAAGTCAGGGGTTCTGGGTTCCGGAGGTTCTTGCTGGTCTGATAGGTGTTGCCCTTGCCATGACTCTGGATAGTGTGGCAAAGGTTGGCAACTTCCTGGCTGGTACTAATACAAGGGGTTTACTCTCCTGAACCCCAGGTCAGACAGCCAGGATTGTATTATGGCCTAGGATCAGCTTGTTGTAAGTGGGTGGGTGTCCTCTAGATTCTGACATTTTGAGCCCCCCCCCCCCCCCCCCGGTGCTGATGAGTGGGACTCATTGCGGGGAGGCTGAATGGTTAGGCATCCGTTTCTGTGTAAGCCTGCTCTTATCACTGCTGGAGGATCTGAGACCAAAGCTATGGTGGATGAGGGTTGGGATAGACAGACTATCCAAATAAGGAACTCAAACAGAACAGCAGAGTTGGTCTTGGGGGTCAGGCCTTGACTTCATCATACCCAGTGAGGTACCCTGGCCAAGCCTCTCCGCTTTGCTGAGCCTCCAGGGTCTTTGGAATGACAATGCTCACCTGCTGTGCTACTCTAAAGAGCTGGCGAAATCACAGCTGAAAACAGCCAGAGTGTGCCCTAGGTTTGGCTGGGCGTGTTTTTCTTTCCAACTGTCACTGGTGTTGAACCAGTTTCCAGGTGAGGACACTGATGCATAGCAACATCCCTGGTTCAGAAGGGCAGGTGGCTAAGGACTCAGACAATTGTACTGGGACCAGGCAGGTCCACTGGCAAATTCCTCTTGACCACACACATGACATGACAGGGCCAGGGAGGACAGGAGGGGGGCCCATGAGTAAGCAGCTGAGCCACTCTAGACCCTGGAGCCCCATCCCTGGCAGTGAGTCACTTCACCCCAGATCACTGCAGTCGCTCACTCAGGGAAGTGGGAGGGGCAGCTGTCTGTCCAGCAAAGGGCAAGCCCTGAATAGTCCTTTTCCCAGGGTCAGAGATTGCTCCCAGAGCTGCCACTGAGCCCTGAGGTCACTGAACCGTCCCATTTCCCTTACACCTTGTGAAGGGCCAGGTCATTGTGACATCATTGCTTGGTGGCACTGTTGAGACTGACAATAGGGCCTTTCCTGGCAGTGCCTGTGGACTGTTCAGCCATCAGCCTGCACCACCACCCCAGTGGTGGCTGTCAGATAGAACAGGGTTGTTGCGATGAGTGCCATAATGAAATGACAGGCACATCTACACCGAAGGTAACCCGCTTCGTACTCTTCCTTCTACTAGAATGCCACCCCTTCTGTGGAGTCGGAAGGGGACACTGGAAGGGGAGGGAGTAGCGTTTAGGGGAGTTAGTCTTTAGCTTACTGCTGCTTTTATCCTACTTGGGATTATTCTGACCTTCCGTAGCCCCAGACCTCTCCAAGCCAGTTCAATGGCTGGGTCTTAAACTCATTCTCCACTGTTGGTACCTATTCCGCCAGGTGCCCTGCCCTGCTCACTGCCTGCCTCCTATGCTTCCCTGACTGGCTTACACTCACTGTCAAGAAGGGCTTTCGTCTCTCTGGCTTGACACATTCTTGCTCTGGGGAGATGAAGAACAGCTTTCTTCAATGTGACCAGCTCAGAGACCGGGCCTGTCACTTGATACTGACCGCTTTCTCTTGTGAATAACTCCTGTTGTCCTGAGAGATGATGTGACAGCCCTCTATCTGATCTCTGGGCTGCACTGGGTACCCTGAAAACAGAAGCCAGGACTCTTGTGCTTCCAGCATCAGCTCTGAGGGTGCTGCTGGCCTGGGTTTGGGGGGCTTCCCTGTAAGGCAGGGGGTAATTCTGTCACAGGGTATACACAGGAAGGGGTGGTTCTGAGGGAAATTAGGACACTTCTTCCTTAGCTTGTCTGTGTCCTCATCTCTACCATCTCAGAGGCCCCACAGGCTGTGAAGAACTTGGCAGAGGAGGCCTAGAGAGTGCAGCGTAACACAAAGGACATATACCACGACCCCAAAGTGCTCCTTCTGTTCAGGCTGTGCTCCTAAGCAGGGTGTCTAGGACAATGGGAGCTGCTTCACTCTGCTAGGCCTGGAGGGTCACTGGAAGTGACCTGGAATGCCCCTCTCCCTGACTGGAGCTCCCAGCAAGCTGCAGGACTCTCGTGTCAGAGGCACGCCATCCTGTGCCCTCCCTCCTCACATGGCTTTCCTTGACCCTGCCACTGCCGCAGCATCAAGGAAACTCTGGGGTAATGTCTACTCCCAGGCAAGGCCAGAGAAGGGAGCAGCAGGTACAGGGTGACACATGTCTCTGGTGGGACCCGAATGTCCTGTCCCCTGCCTGCCCTGCCCCTCCCCTGCCTGCCCCGCCCCTCCCTCGGGGCCTGGCACAGTGGCAGGCTTGTTTTCCTCCTCCTCTTTCCTGCTCAGATTCTAGCCTGGCTCCACCCTGTGTCTGGCTCTCAAGCTTGCTGCTCTGGCCAGCTGCTATGGGAGCTGGGCTGACCCTTCCAGAGGGTCCCAGCTGGCCAGCCCTGTGACTCACCAGGAAGCTCGGCCAGGGCCTTCCAGTTTCTTCCCTGGTTCGCTGTCAAGCCACTGTTGCAAGGTTTCCTTAGAGAACGAACGGGGACTTCCTGGGTGGAGGACCAGGAGTTCTGCGGTTGTGATGCTGGGCATCTGACTAATCCCTGCTCCTACTCTGCTGTGGCCAGAGAGTGAGCGGGACAGGGAAGGGGAGGCCCCAGATAAAGGCTGCTGTAAGAGTATAAAAGCCAAGGGCTGGCCTGTCGGGGTGGTGGCCCGTGGGCAGTGAGTGGCATGTCTGAGCTAGAGACACAGCCTGTAAGGGAGCAAGGATGGAACGAGCAGCCAAGAACTCATGACTGCTTCCTTGTTTCCTATTGCAGGTCCCAGCATCTGGGGTTTTCCCTCAGTCCTTGAGTGGTCATGTCCAATCCCACTGCCCCACCTCCCTATGAGGATCGCAACCCTCTGTATCCTGGCCCTCCACCTCCTGGGGGCTACGGGCAGCCATCTGTCCTGCCAGGTGGATACCCTGCCTACCCTGCTTACCCCCAACCTGGTTACGGTCACCCTGCAGGCTACCCACAGCCTATGCCTCCCATCCATCCAATGCCCATGAGCTACGGTGAGTCCTGGAAGGTGGCTGGGGTGGCTGGGATGAGATAGACCTGGGGCCCAAGGAGGCCTTTAATTCCCTTCCTCCTACCATACCCTTTGATACCCTTTTCCTCTTCCTGTCCCAGCTTCCCCTTAGCTTCCCATTTCCCCCCCCAGCTACTTGCTGACCTATGTATTCAATAAGGAGACTGAAGTCATAAGACATATGTCAGAACTTAGACTCGGAAAAGGTAGCTGGGTGAATTAATGGCTTCTAAGTGTTTGCCTAAGGAACCATTTCTGTTTCTCAACAAGGCTGTCGCCACTGTGTGTGGGTGTCATGTCTTCCTTAGGAACCCTAAGCACTTTTTTTTTTTTTTAATATCCTAGGGCTGACATCTCCATCCTTTATATACAGTCTGATTTTTGCCAACAGCCAAAATGTTGGTCAGTGAAGGTGAGGTTAGACTATAGTAAGCCTCCTTTCTGGGGGGTGGATTTTGCATTTCTTTTTGGTATGGGAGACTGAATTCAAGGTCATTATATGCTGAGTATGTGCTCTGCCTATGAGGTGCACCCCAACTCCTTCTGAGTAGACGTTGGAAGCAGTTCCCCAAGAGGCATCCGTGGAATGTTAGTGGCTTGCAGTAGCCTCAGTGTCCCAGAGCCAGAGCCAGTGTGTGTGGCCAGTTCCTATGTGGACACGTGTTCTGAGGCAGACCTTAAGTTGTCACTTACAGGTGACAGCTGCATGTGCATTGTGAAGCCTGCTGTAGACCACAGACCTTGCCCTCCTATACCCACTGTCTGTGTACTTCTCCCCTCCTTTTCTCTGGCCCTCTATCCCCAAGGCTACTGCTCTGCCAGCCAGCTCTACTCCCTAGATGCCAGCTGCTTCCCTAGATGGTGATGCCACCATCTTCCCCCAGTGATGGGGGCTGGGCACAGAGCCTGCAGCAGATGCCTGGTGCTCTTTCTCACCTAAGCCCAGTTGGGGTCACTCTGAGGGTGCCTAGACAATTCTAGCTTGACAAAGGAGTCGGAGTTACAAATGTATCTTCTGGACAGAGTTACCTGAGCCTTTGTCTGAGACAGGGTCAGGGGTGCTTTGAGATACAGGCTACCTGTCCTAGGTCCCCAGTCATTTGATGTGATCTATGTCTGGTCCCAGGCCATGACTATGGTGGGGAGGAGAGAGCCATAAGTGACAACTTTGGTCCTGGAGAATGGGATGACCGCAAAGTCCGACATACCTTCATCCGAAAGGTGAGATATGGGCTGGGGCTTGGGGGAGGCCTAGGCACAGGTGCACATTCCCATGTAAATGCCTTAGTTGCCTGCCTCCTTGTAGTTCTGTACCCTCCTCAGAGGCCCCCCCCACCCCCTCACCCCCGCTTTGCCTTGACATTGTTTGGGGATGATGGACTCGACCCGGGAAAACTTCCCCTCCCACTGTTAGACAGCAAGCAGCAGGGAGCGGAAATGAACATCCCTTCTTCCAACCCTTGTCACAGAGAACTGCTCATAATACAGGAACAGGCAGGAAAGACGAGAGCAGTAAACTGAACATAAGCTGGGTACTGGATAGGAGGAAAGGGGCCACGAAGTAGCTGCAGGAGGCACTGGAGTCATTTCTAGGGCTCAAGAAGTGTCTTTCAAATTAGTCATTCTTTATCTTTTCAAAATTGATTTTATTTTTAATTAAGGTGTGTGTGTATGTATGTATGTATGCATATGCATGCGAGTGCAGTACCCAAGGAGTCCAGAAGAGGGCATCAGAGCCTCTGGAGCTAGAGTTACAGGTAGTTGTGAGCTGCCTGATATGGTTGCTGGGAACTGAACTCAGGCAGGTCCATGAACAATATACACTCTTAATCACTGAGTCCTCTCCCCATCCAAAGCCCTCCAAACTAAAGAGACCCCTTGTACCACTAACAAGATGGGTGGGGTTGGTGGGTGGGGACAGGGGAGAGGCTAGTATGAGATGTGAACTATATCCCTGGCTGTCTGTTCTAGGTCTATTCCATCATTTCCGTCCAGCTGCTCATCACTGTGGCCATCATTGCTATCTTCACCTTTGTGTGAGTCTCCTTCTCCCAGCCTGTGTTACCTGCTGGGCTGCCCGTGTAAGGGTGGATCTCAGCTGGAGGCAGACAAAGCATCATATGACCCGTCTCTCGGCATCTTCTGTTTCATAGGGAACCAGTCAGTGAGTTCGTGAGGAAGAATGTGGCTGTGTACTACGTGTCCTAGTGAGTGCATGGTGTTGAGGTTGGGGTGGGAGGTGGGGCAGGAGGCAGCTGACCAGCTTTTGTTCAGGGCAGGGGTTAATATGCCCTAGGAGGGAGGCCTTCCCAGAAGCTGGTGCAGGTTCCAGGCAGCAGGGGCTGGGGATCACCTGAGGAGGAGGGACATCAGAGAATGCTAGAACAGAGTCAGACAGGGAAAGTGTGGTGGTGACATGTAGAGTTCATAGTTCTGCCCAGGCTCTCTTACCCAATGTCTATGATCACTACACATCCTTCTGGTTCAAACCCTGTCCCAGGCTTCTTGGTGCCCTGGCTTTCTACAAAGAAAGTAGCTTGTCAAGAAGCCTAGGCTGCTAAGTGCTGTCCATAGTGGGCTAGAAGCAGGCCCAGGGTGGTTCGGCCTATAGCCGTGTCCCATCTCTTCCCCCAGTGCTGTCTTCATCATCACCTACCTGACCCTTGCCTGCTGCCAGGGACCCAGGTGAGTGCTGGGGACCCAGACAAGAGGGTAGAAAGTGGGACAGGGACAAAGGATTCTAAGAGGCGAAGGGTGAGACTTATGAGGGATATGTGTGAGGAGGAGACAGTCAGTGGTTAGTGTGTGACACCTACCTAGCTAAGTGTCATTACAAGATACATTAAGAATCATACATACATGATATGCAGCATTGTGAGCATTTAACAAAGACAGAAGGGGAGGAGGCAGCAAAACGGCTCACTGAGTAAAGGTACCTTCTGTCATGCCTAACAATCAAAGTTTGAGGCCCAAGACACACATGGTAGAAGGAAAGAAATGATTCCCACAAGCTGCCCTCTGACCTCCACATGTGTCCTGGGGTGCATGCATACACACACAAGCAATACAAAATTAAAACTGTAACAGGGAAAGGCACGAATCCCTGTCAGGCCTGAGGAACTTCGTCAGTCACGCGGCCACGTGAGCGTTTTCCTGGCTCCACAGGCAGGTCTGTCCCAGGTTACCCTTGTGTAAACACTTGAGTACCCTCCCTAAGGAAAAGGCTTATTCCTCAGTTCCTTCTGCGGAAGGAACTGCTAAGATTGATAGGCCCAAGGCAGGTTAACCAGGGTCTCTCTCTCTCTCTCTCTCTCTCCCCCCAGACGTCGGTTCCCATGGAATATCATCCTGTTGGCTCTCTTTGTAAGTCTAAAAGGGGAATGGAAGGCCACTTGTGGAAAGATGTCCCTGGCTGTCTCTTCACCTTACCAGGCCCTGTTCTTGGTTTCCTGCATGGCTGTTCATCCAGCCCCAGCTCTGGCAGGGCCATGGTGGCCAGTGTTGGGGCTGGACCACAGAGCCTGACACTTGCTGTTCCTAACTGTTGGCCTTATTTCTCTCCTCCCCTCAGACTCTGGCTTTGGGCTTTATGACAGGCACCATTTCCAGGTATGCCCAGGGACATCCCTCCATATTCTTGGGAAGGGAGTGTTGGGAAGGGTTGGACGGACTGGGCACAATCCTGGACATAGGGACTCTACACTCATGGATTATGGTTCTATCCCATCTCAACTCTTTCTCTCTCCCAGTATGTACCAAACCAAAGCTGTTATCATAGCGATGATCATCACTGCTGTCGTTTCCATTTCAGTCACCATCTTCTGCTTTCAGACTAAGGTGAGGATGGGGAAGGCTCTTCCCGGACCACCCGGTCCTTTTATATACACAAACCTTTGGGTCTGGCACTTGGGCAGGCCTGGGAGGGCCCAGAACCTGGTAGGCCAGGGATTTCCCTAGCCTAATTTAATGTCTTGTTCTCATGTCTGTATCTGACAAATTGCTTCCTGTATATGTCCTTAGCATGTCACTGTCACTGCCATACCCCTAGGAGCAGCCTGAGACCCCCGACTGGGTGCAGGGTCAGTCTTCTGGGATGCGTAGGACGGCAGTCATCTGACAGTACCTCTTCCTCCCTTCTAGGTGGACTTCACCTCGTGTACAGGCCTCTTCTGTGTCCTGGGGATTGTGCTGATGGTGACTGGGATTGTTACTGGCATTGTGCTGTTATTCAATTACGTGAGTGTTCTGCCACGAAGGCAGGCAGTGAACCCAGCCACAGACTTCCTGTAGAGCAGGGTTAGGCTCTGGCTCCCACACTCCTCCATTGGCTAGTGCTGGCACCAACACAATACCATCCTTTTGGGTTAGGGTAGGCCTTTTGGCAGATGGTAAGGCACGGTAAGGCACTGGGTAGCACCACTGAATTCCTATAGGAAATAGTTAGCTGAGACCAGGTTCTTTGAGGCAAAGCTAAAGGACCAAGTCAGGCCTGGATATAAGGGGCCTGGATGCCTTCTCTGTTTCCAGTTAGCTGAGGGGACAGCACAGGACTAAAGGGGGGGGGGACCAGAATGAGAGGTGCTGCCTGCCCCACCATGGCTTGAACTAGCCTGTGCACAGGCACTTGGCAGCCGTGTTGAGCAGGGTGGCAGGCAGCTGCTGAAGGGCCTCTCTAAGCTGTGCCTAAGGTGGGCTGTAGGAGCCTTAGGGCCTGCTGGGCCTGCTCCTCCTGAGCTCGCTCTGCTGTTGCCTTGTTTTCAGGACCTATAACAGACACTCCTGTTCTTTGACTAGATTGGCTGAAAGGTGCTGGGACTGGTTTTACATGGATGTTGTGGTACAGCCTCTGCTCTCTGGCAAATAAATCAGTCTTAGTTTCTCCTAGGATCTAGAGGCAGGGTAGGGGACCCTGGAGAGGTAGCTCCCCTGATGTCCCTGTTCTGCTGCTGGAGTCCCAGGGTCAGTTTGAGGGCCTGCTTCTGTCATGCCTTGCTTGGCTTCCTAATGCTGTACTGTGCTATTTCACAGATTTACTGGCTCCACATGGTCTATGCTGCTGTGGGGGCCATCTGTTTCACCCTGGTAAGTTTGGTCCCTGTTCTGGGAGGGGAAGCTGAGAGAGTAGAGATGGAATTTAGGCAGCTTGGGAGGTAGGGAGGGGCCCTTTCCTATTTTCTTTCCTATTTGGAGGTTCTAGAAGTTTCTGGCATCCCTATTGTCTTTTGTTCACACTCCCTGCTGTGTGACAAGGGGGTATCAGCCTTCTCTGATAGAGAAGTGAACTGCTCAAGGGAAGAGACCATGTATGTACTACACTGCTCCTTAGTGATTCCATTAGCAAGCAGGATGGACAGCACAGCTCTCAGGACATTCTGCTGACCAGAGTTGAACTCTCAATGCCGAGCTCCTGGGCACTCATGTCTGATTTCCTTGCAGTTCCTGGCTTACGATACACAGCTGGTTCTGGGGAACCGGAAGCACACTATCAGCCCGGAGGACTACATCACAGGCGCCCTCCAGATCTACACTGACATAGTCTACATCTTCACCTTTGTGCTGCAGTTGATCGGGAGTCGAGACTGAGCCTTATCCCCTTCACTGGCCTGGGACTCATCCTTTTCTACTAGGCTGGGCCCTAAGTCCCTTCCCCCTCAAGTAAACTGCCCAGTGTCCTCTCTGTCCTGGGGATGGGAGGGCCTCTGGCTGTATTATGTGAGAACCAAGGGTGCTGACGTTATTGACAACTCTTGCCCTTGGTGGGCTTGGTAAGGACTAGACTAGGGTTGTATCGCCTCCCCTTTACCCACAGTGAACATGCACGGAAATTTTAGTGTGTGTTGGGAGGGGGGTGGAGTGGGGAGCCTGTGAACACAGGAGCTTCAAGGTGAAGAGGCTCCCGCCCGGCCTCGGCCATAGGCTTCTAGGATAGGGAGCTGGAGCTGTTTCCCTCCTGGATCCAATAAAGCCAGATGTCCCCAGCTCCAGTACTAATAGGCCACTTACCCTGTTAGAACTCTTTAGGCTTAGTGTCTCTTAGCTCTGGAAGCTAGGAGATCTTTGCCCTGCAGTCTCCCTGTTCCAACCCCATCCTCCAGTAACATGTACAGATTATTTATCTGGGTTAGGGGGAAGACAGTGAGCAAAGTTCATTCAGCATGGTGGGCTAAGAATGGCATCCACCTGGCTGGCACCCATCCTGCCTACCATATAGGCCGAAAGTGCTCAGCGCCTTCTGAGGCTTCTAAAGAGGGCCCTCCTACTTTCTCTGCTTAGACACTCAGAAGATGAGAGGTGGAGGTCAGCAAATAAGGTGGATTGTAGGATCCTGAGTGTGGCTGGGAAGTGGTCTAGGGAAGAGATGGGTGAGGACAGGGAAAGGCTTTGGGTTCCCTCTCTGGTCTAAGAAACACTGAAGCCCACTCTGGTACCTAGTGACCTTCTCTTCTAACACAAGTTCAGTCTGTTCTGAACTCCTGCTGGGAGGTTTTAGACTAGAACCCCTCTCCAAGCCAGCTCCTGCTTTCTGTATAATGCAAGCCCCTCCAGCTGGTACTAGGGTGGAGCCAGAAGCCAGTCTATCAGGTGGGGTGGGAAAGCTTATTATCCCAAGGACACAATTAGAGCTATTCTGTCCAGTACTTGATTCTGAATAGATCACAAAGGGACACAACTAGAAATGGAATAAAATTTTGTTGGCATTGAGACCCTGAGTAGCTGTGGCGTTCTTAATTTTAACTGTTGGGTGGTGGCGTTAGCCAAAGTGTCTACTTCCTTTTCAATCCAGGCTGAGTCTCCCGCCTGCTGTGCGGAACCAAGCAAATTTCCTTGGAACAATTCTCGGTGATGGGCGAGAGACAGGCTGCTGAAATGTCAAAAGCTGGCTGGGGAAGGGAACTCCAATCTGCACTTTGTGTCATGAACCCTCCGTAAACCCTCCCTAGCTTTCACTTCCCTGAAGCTGTGTCTTATGTAACTTTTTTCAGCTAGGAAAAGGGATAGACCACGGGATTAGAATTTCTCTTGAAAACTAGTTTCTCTTACAAATGAGGAAAATGAGTTCCAGAGAGGCTGACATATTTGGATGCTTTTTTTCATCCGTGCCCTGAATGCTGCCTTTGATTTTTTTTTTTTTTGAGACAAGAGCTTTTATTATGTTGCCCTGGCTTTATTGGAACCCTGGCCTCAAACTCAGAGATCCACCTGCCTCTGCTTCCTGAGTGCTGAGATTAAAGATGTCCATGCCTGACTGGTTTTAACTGGCTTAAGGCTACATGGGAGCCTTCCTGACCAGTGGCTCTTAAGACTTAGTTGCACTTAAGTCTGTGGTTCATCATCCAGCTGGGAACACAGATCTTCTGTGAGGGAACAGGGATGAGCAGCCAGCCCCACTCTGCCCTTCCCCTCCCACCGTGCTTACAAATTCAGCCCTGCTTCCTTTCCATGCCAGTACTAATAACTTTATTTGCCTTTGGCTGGTTCCTCTGTGCGGAAGGGGTGGGTGCTTGCGGCATCTTGAGCATCATGCTCCCTCTGGTGGGCCTCAGGGGAAGTGACCACAATAGCCACACAGGACTCAGTCAACACTCTAGTGCAAGGTTGCAGTGATCATCACTCAGTTCTGTACCCCAGACCCAACTTCAGGGCACTGGGCTTGCTGGGAGGAAGCCCTGAACCTCTGGCTCTCATACTCGCCCGTGTTGGACACCCGCATGTTCTGCCGAGCCTTCATCTGCTTCAAACGATCCTTGTCCACTTCCTGCTTGGTGAGGACGAAGAAGAGGATACCACAAGGGAAGCCGATGGCCCTAGGGATGGGGAGATGTGCACCGGGTTTGGGCAGGGACTGGGACTGAGCAAGAGGAGCTGGAAGAATCAGTCCAGCTTTGTCAAATGTACAAATGCTATTGTGATACCTCTGTGTCTACCTGTCCTTTGTGCCGGCTGCTCGAGGGACCCCACAGATCTGATTCTGCTGTTGCCTGCGAAGACACTGTAACAGCTTTCTATTATACCCTGGCCAACTCCAAACTCTAGGCATGGCAGGCACTAAAGGCCCAGTGTGGTCCTGCCTACCTCTTCATTCCTCTCGTTAGGCTGATAGTCATGGGCTCCTGCTGAATGCTCATGTGCCACAGTGATAGCCCTCTGTGAGTTAGCAAGGGTCCCCTCTGTCTAAACTGCCTCACATCCCTTCCCAAACCCCTTTTTCTTTTTGGTGCTGCGGATTGAACTTAGGGCTTCAAGAATGTTAAACATGTGCTTAACCACTAAAGTATATCAACCAACAGTCTACTTAATCTGAGCAACTACTACTCAAAGAGGATCCTGGTAGGGGTCCAAGAGCATGAAGTCACAACCTGGTGAGAATCCTAGCTGGGAGTCCCAGTTCCCTCCTTGATGAGAAGGAGGAAGTACAATGTTTACCTCAGAAAGCTTAAAATGTTATATGACAAAGTACTGTCACACCTCAGGCACTTTGCTGGAAAAAAATGTTAATTTCTCTTCCCTTTCCTGTTGATCAATAATATGTATTAAAGCCAGAATCAAAAAAAATAAACCGACAGAACCATTTCTATACAACATATTCCAACACAATCTTAAGAAAGACTGGGATCTCACCCCAGTTCCCAAAAGGATGGATGAAGCCAGTGACCCAATTCAAACCAGATCAGCTCAAGTTGCTCCACAGTAAAACCCACCGCCCCACCCACATCTCACTCTTGAGATTCTATCCCTTGAACACAGCGATTGATTCTCTTTCCTTAGACTCAGCTCACCTCCTGCACGTTAAGTTTGTAGGTCCTGACATCCTTTTGCTGCATTCCCCACTTGTAGGCAAAGGGGCAGTTAAAACTCACCAGGCTAGTCCCACAGCTTTCATAGGATTCTTGCCCCTCTTTCTGGGAATGTATTCCAGCTCAGGAGAGAGGGGCTCGGGCTCCTCCTTGCACTCCGGTGAGCTGTGGCTCTGCAGTGCTCTGGTCCTGTTCTGCGAAGCCTTGTTAGCTGTGGCTCCAGAGAGAATCCCTGTGAATAAAAGAACGGTAGGGGTAGGTCAGTATAGGATGAATGAGGGAGGGAGGGGAGTGAATGCAGTTTGGAGTAACAAGTGCTGTGGAGAATCCAAAGAGAAATGGGAAAATCGCCATCGAGGTGACACCTTTGGAAGCTACTTCCACGTCACTGCGGGATCCTCACCCTCGTGCCAGGACAGCGAGCTTCACTGCTGTTCTCTCTATTCACAAGACCGGTTGGGAAGGACTGCAGAGGGACTTAGCGGAGACATACGTATGAAGGAAATCCGGAAAACTGTTTTAAAACTGCAAGACCTTAGCTATCTCTAAAGATAGCTAATTCCATCCCCTCATGCTATAGAAGAGGAAACTGAAGCCCCGAGAGACGAGCTGCTCCGCACAAGGTCAAACCGCCAATTACCCAGTGCTAGCAAGTCTCCAGAAGCCCAGGGCTCGCTCTTCTGCACTGCGGTGAGTGTGAAACCCCTGGAACACGGGAGATTAAAGGCTTCTTTGGGACTCCCTCTATCAGCAAGACCCTAGACATGCAGTGTAACCTGAACGCAGGGGTTAGATTGATTGGGTGACCTCTAGAGCATCTTTCACCCCCAGACTCTAAAATCCTGCAGAGAGGTGTGGGCAGCAATTAGCAGCCTGACTTCCTGCTGTCCTGCTGAGTGGAATGTGAAGGGAATGGGATCTTTTAGAGCCGTGCCCTCCCGGGGGGTCCCTCTCCTTACCCCGGAGGACGCGGGCATTTCTTGCGCCCCGGCCCTTCAGCGCCGTAGCAGCTACCACCGCCGCCATGTTCAGGTCCCACCCCCCTTCACTGCGCTCCCCGCCGGGAATTGTAGTTTGCGTAAGGGGCCTCCCCCGCGCCTTCCGTCCTGCCTACAGATCAGAAACTACATTTCCCAGAAGTCCGCGTAGCGGGCCCGTGAGAACTACTCCTCCCAGGAGACCCCGGAGGCGCGCACGCTCGCTTGTTTCCCTCCAGCTGGGGGCGGAGTCCTGTCGGGCGGAGCTTGGGTTCTCCCGCCACGCCTCGGCCTGGTCATCCAAGTTCTGCCTTGTGATTGGCGGCTCTGTCAGCCCACCTCCGTCGCTATTGGTCCGGATTCCGTCGCTCTTTCGGCCGGGAGTCGCCTACGCCTACTTCCTCCCGGGAGGAGGGGCTCGAGTTCCGCGTCGTCGCGCAGAGCTGACTGTGGGAGGCGTTTGGGCCCAGAGAAGTGGATCGGTAGGTTTCGCCGCATGGAGTCGGAATCGGAGAGCGGAGCGGCCGCTGACACCCCGCCGCTGGAGACTCTAAGCTTCCACGGAGATGAAGAGATCATTGAGGTGGTAGAGCTGGATCCAGGCCCGCCCGACCCGGGTGAGAACTGTCGCTCCTGAGGCCATGGGACAGGAGGCGCTCACCCCTGGCCTCTGACCCCCGCTTCTTTCCCCTCCCCCCTTCCCTACCGGTCGTTCCTACCGACATTTCTCTCCCAGCCCTCCTTCCCTACCCCCCACACTTAGTTTCGAGGCCTGGCTGGGTGGGGGTTCCCTGACGCCTCCCCTGGCCCTTCCCCTCACACACCCCCTTCCCGTCATGCCCTCTGTCCTCTCTTCCCACACTGTCGCTGCCCAACGCCAGGTCTTCAGACCTAGCCTCTCTCCCCTTCTCCGCCCCCCGAGCGCTCTCCTTCTGCTCGGTACGTGTGGGACGACACCTTAACCTTTGGCCACATGACCCACTCTGGCGTCGCCCTATTCACTCTTCACCCCTCACCCCATTCCTCTTGTATCTTTCGAGATCCATCTTTTAACGCTTTTCCCAAAGCAGATGATCTGGCCCAGGAGATGGAAGACGTGGACTTTGAGGAAGAGGAAGAAGAGGACGAGGGCAATGACGAGGGCTGGGTCCTGGAACCCCAGGAAGGGGTGGTCGGCAGCATGGAGGGCCCGGATGATAGCGAGGTCACCTTTGCATTGCACTCAGGTAGGAGGTCTTTGAAGGGGCTCACCTCAGACCAGTGCAGATGGACTTCTGAGTATGGCCCGTTGGTCCCAGGCAAGAAAGCCTGCAGGAAATTCACAGGAAGAACCAAAGGGACTAGACTTGGCCGTGGTGTCAAGTGAGATGCCTAGGTTCAAATCCTACCTCTGCTGTTAGCAATTTATCACCTTTTGTTAGCTTTCTGGATCTTAGTGTTCTTTAAAAAAAAAAAAAAAATCAACTTGGCCAGATGGTGGTAGTGCATGTATGTCTTTAATCCCAGCACTTGAGAGGAAGAGGCAGGTGGATCTCCATGAGTTTGAGGCTAGCCTGCCTGGCCTACAGAACCCTAGGGCAGCCAGGGCTTCTGGGAAGACAAAACAAGTCATCTTGGATGAAAGTGAATAGAAGTAATCCTAGTGGAGATTAAAGGCGACTGACACTCCAAAAGTAGCATTAACAGTAATCTTCTCAGGAGCTTGTTCTTTGTAAGCCAGTCTCATGAGGCTCTCCCATCACTTAATTCATACCCAGTCTGATGGTATCCTGTGCCTTACCTGTGCACATGGACCTACCGCTTGCCTTGTACCTCAGGGTGGGATGGTAAGGGGAATAGGACAGCAGGGGGGTATGCTCTGGAGGAGGACTTGGGATGGATGTCTCTAACAGCCAGTTGCTTCAGACAAGAACTGGATGTAGCCTTTGGAGAAAGGGG